TCTTCCAACCTGTACTCAACGCAAAAGTCCCCAAGACATCAATCACCATAGGCGATACGGAGCTGAGTATTGTTGACAGCTTGTATTACCCCTGGCTCCCTGGACAAAGAGATCTCTGCCAGAATCAACAAAACGAGCCAAGACCTAGGATAACACCGCAGCAGGTTGCTAAACCATCATAATGTCACCCTGGCCACGAAACTCAAAATGTATAAGCTGTTGTCCTCATATCTCTTTTGTATGGCTGTGTCTCCATTGAAGCAATGCTTCTGAAGACCCATCTCCGTTGGTCAGGCCATACCATCAGTATGGGAGACCAACGAATCCGAAAACAGTTGTTATTTGGTGAATTAGCAGAAACGCACAGAAAGCATAGTCGCCCCTTGAAAGATAGCCTGAAGTGATACGGCATTATGTCCACAGAACTTTTTGACATATCGCAGGAGAGACAGCGTTGATGTACTCTCTCTAAGAGAGCATCAGCCTTGTTTGAGGAGGAGTGCCACAACATGGCTCAATCTGCCAAAAAGCGTCACCTCAGAAATGCAGCTGTCCCTGCAACACCTGCGGCTTTCCAATGTCCCACCGATTAAAGACTTTGCAAGTCAAAACTCGGATTGCAGAGCTACTCCCGTACTCAGTAATCCTCGAGGCCGTGAGACAACCATCCTACACACATACACAGACACACACACACACACACACACACACACACACACACACATACACAAACACACACACATATATATATATATATTATATTATATATATAATATATATATATATATATATATATATATATAAATTTGCGTGTGAGTGTATGTGTCTGTTTATTGTGAGTATGTGTGTGTGCGTGTTTGTGTGTGTAAGTGCATACAAACACATACATACGTTTATACATACATACATACATACATAATATATTATATATATATATAATATATAATATATATATATAATATATATATATATATGGGATCTCAGAGCAGCAGCAGGAGGCCCCAGAGTCATGACACACTGGCATGTGGACACGCCCTGGCCTTGAACCAACTCCTGCCCCAAAACCCCAGTGGCCCTTGCCAGTCCACCTCCCCCCAGAGATAACCTCCATGGCAACGTCCTATATATTTGGAATTAATAGGGCGAGGGGATATGCCCCTCCTACCAGTAAGAGAGATGGGTTGTGGGTCCTACGGAGAGGGCGACTGCTGGGGCGCAGGATGGAAATGGGAGCTACTCCTCCCACCTACATTCTGGCAGCCACCAGCCTGGAATGAAGCTTGTGGGGCAAAGCTCTAGAGAATCCCACAGGTGGATCTTGGGGCCTGCAGTCTGCCACCCTCTTTTATGTGGGGCAGAGGTGGTGTCCACCTGGAGTGACTGCCCTAGGGTTAACCTCAGGTGGGAAGTCAGGGTGTGGGCTTGAAACATCCATCCACTCTTTGCATCAGGATGATCAGTTGCCTCTACTATCGAGAGAACTGGGGAGGCTGAGAGTTGGGGTGGCTGCTCTCTTGGAGGTAAGAAGACCTGGCAGCGTGCCACTGTAGGTTGCTACATCTATTGCTGGTCAGGCCACAGCGATGGTCACATCATCTTCAGGGAATAGCCCTGAGACTGATGCTACCATTTGGCTTTATGTCTCTTATTGCTGTGTACGCACCTATCGATGTCTGTCAGTCCTCATGGTTCAGGAGCTGATACCGGCAACGAGAATAGCCTCCTTTTCCGGGACTTTGCAAGGTCCCAGAAATTGAGGATTTCTGGCTCCTGGTATCAGCACCCAGATCTACATCATGGTATCACTGGACATGGTATAGCGATGCCAGTAATGCAGCCAAGGAGATCGACCACATACTCGTTAGCACTGGTTGGAGGATCCTCCAGGGCTTCAGGGTTAATAGGAGTGCCGAGTTCTATGGTACTGACTACAGATTGGTTGTGGCTACCCTCCGGGTCCACTTCAAAACTCTTCAACGGGCCAATGATCAACCTAGGGTGTTTCATTTGAACAGGCTGAAGGAAGGGGAATTTGTACTCGGTGGTTTGCTGAAGCAATTTCTGGTCGTTTCACAGTGCTCTACAATCTGACGGACCCTGTACTCCTGAGGGATACCTTCATGTGCAAAACACTTGATGCAACCCAAGAGTCGATTGGTGAACATCCGAGGGCAAGATGGAATTTTATCTCACAGGAGATGCTGGAAGCCACAGATGCTTGCCGTGTGGCTTGTCTGACAGGGGATTGGGATTTGCACCGTTCTCAGGTGTGTAGAACTCAGTCTCTGTTAAGAAAGGACAAGGAACAATTTATTAGGAGTCTTGCTGAGGAGATAGAAGCCCTCTTCAGAGGTGACAGCGGTTCACTTAGTGGCCAGATCGTCTCAGATCCTGTTGTGATGCGGGAGTGTTGGGCTGAGTATTTTGAGCAGTTGTATTTGGTTGACCCACTTACAGTTAACTTGGATGCGGGTGGCGCCATGATTCTGTTGCTGGACCCACTCATCAGTGAGGATCCTTCCTCCCTAAATGAAGTTAGGGGGGTGATCTCCAAGTTGAAGAGTGGCAAAGCAGCGAGTATTTGTGGCATCCCAACAGAAATGTTAAAGGCTGGTGGTGAACCAATGGCGCGGGGGTTGCATGCTGTCTTGATTGCCATATGGTGGTCCGGTACCATTCCCCGACCTGTTGAGGGGTGTGGTCATTCCTCTATGGAAGAGGAAGAGGGACCGATGGGACTACAGCAATCACCAAGGCATCACACTGCTCAGTATACCAGGCAAGGTTCTCGCCCACATCCTTCTGAGACGTATCAGAGACCACCTACTGAGGCATCAGAGGCCGGAGCAATCTGGATTGACTCCTGGTAAGTCCACTATAGACCGTATCTTTGCACTTCGAGTCATTGTGGAGCGCCGTCGTGAGTTCAGGCTTTCGATATGGTGCATCGGAAATTTCTCTGGGAGATCCTAAGGCTAAGAGGAATTCCACAAAGGATTATTGGACTAATAGCAAGTCTGTATACTAGTACTGAAAGTGCTGTAAAGTGTAGTGCGGGCCTGTCGAGCTTCTTTCCTGTTATTTCAGGAGTGAGGCAAGGCTGTGTCCTTGCACCAATACTTTTCAATACTTGCATGAACTGGATATTGGGCAAAGCTACTGTTCAAAGTCATTATGGAGATACTTTTCNTCGTGTGGTCATCCCTCTCTAGAAGGGGAAGGGGGACCATTGGGACTGCAACAATCACTGAGGCATCACACTGCTCAGTATACCAGGCAAGGTTCTTGCCCACATCCTTCTGAGACATATCAGAGGCCAGAGCAATCTGGATTCACTCCTGATAAGTCCATAATAGAACGTATACTTGCGTTTTGAGTCATTGTACAGCGCCGTCGTGAGTTCGTGTTTGGGCTGCTTGCAGCCTACCTCGACCTCAAGAAGGCGTTCGATGTGGTGCATCAGGAATCACTGGGAGATCCTGAGACTGAGAGGAATTCCAACAAGGATTATTAAACTAATTGCAAGTCTGTATACTGGTACTGAAAGTGCTGTAAAGTGTGATGGGGGCCTGTCGAGCTTCTTTCCTGTTAGTTCAGGAGTGAGGCAAGGCTGTGTTTTTGCACCAACACTTCAATACTTGCATGGACTGGATACTGGGCAGAGCTACTGTTCAATGTCATTGTGAAGCAATACTGGGCTATATTAAAGTTACAGACCTTTACTTTGCCGATGATGTTGCTACTCTATCTGAGTCTTTGGAAACCCTAGTGGTGGCTCTTGATGCATTTAGTAATGAAGCGAAGCCCTTGGGTTTAGAGGTCTCCTGGACCAAGACCAAGATCCAGGACTTTAGGGAATTGTTAGGAGAACCTGTTCAGTAAGTACGTGCTTGTAGCGAGGACATTGAAGTCACAGAGAGCTTTACATACCTTGGTAGTGTAGCTCATAACTCTGGGCTGTCAGACCAGGAAGTCAGCGGATGGATTGGCCTGGCAGCAGGGGTCATGAACTCTCTCGACAAGAGTATTTGGAGATGCTAGTACCTGTGCAGAAGAACCAAGCTACGTGTCTTCAGGGCCCTGATAATGCCAGTTTTGCTATACGGTAGTGAAACCTGGACATTATCTTGTGCCTTGGAGTTATGTCTTGATGCCTTTTGCAATTAGTCCTTGTGCCGGATCATGGGGTACAGTTGGTGGGACCACGTGTCCAACCAATGGTTGCACCGTGAGACTGGCACAGGACCTGTTACCTACACAATCCGAGATCGCCAACTCAGGCTGTATGCCTGTGGGAAGACCTAGGAAGTCGTGGCTTGGGCAGATCGATCAAACCTGTCGTTAGGAGCTTGAGATGGGCCGAGTCCCTGCCTGGTAGCTTGCCATGAGGGATCCTAGAAGGTGGAAGCAAAGGGTGAATACGGCTATGCACTCCCCTCGGCGTCCTCATCAATGGCAGACTGGGGTTGATCTTTGACCACACCTGAGCTGGGAATGCCGATGTTTAACAATGCCATATGATGGCATCCTTCCCATATGATGCTTTCATTTCACTGAAGGTCTCTTATGGTGTGCAGCCATTCAAGTATAAAAACCTGTGATGCTTGATAATCCACTTGTTCCATTTTCATACTTTACTGCACCTTCACTGCTGTAACAGAAAATATATTATGAATTAAGGACTGGAAATCAGTGCATGACCTACAGAGATGTGTTGTAGTATTTGTGTTGTGTATCTACCACATGACTGGTGTCTTATCTCTGGAGAATGTTTGTGTAGGTGTGAGTTCCCACAGGTATGGCTTGTTGGAGACAAAGTGTTCTACGGGGGAACTGGAGAGGTTCCTCGTGGCTGCTGCTTAACTGTGGTGCTGTTGGATGATCTTGAGATGGTGCTGATCTCAGTCTGGATTTTGGAGCTTAAATACTCAGGAACAAGGGGAGCTTTCAGTCCAGTGAGAGAGCTGTAAAATGTCATGTAAGCCAGTCGGGCCTTGGCAATGAGTCCTGAGAATTGCCTGGTGGTGAGTGGACATGGACAAGGCTGTGGTGTGGACCTGGTTGAATCCAACCTTGCAGTTATGCCGAGTTGCAGGTTGTGGGTTGTGGCTGCTACAGTATATCTATATATATATATGTGAAATTTCAGCCTCCTAGAATTAGCAGAAGTGGGTCGGGAAATCTTTAATGAGTGCCCCTTGCCTTTTCAGAGCCTCTCAAGATTCTTGTAGTGTAGTGGATGTAGTGTGAGAATTCAGATGTGTGGGTTTTACACATTTTTTGTGGGCAAAGGTTTTTATAGATTTACTTTGTATTGATTTATTTTTACATTATCTGTATTTTGATTGCACCTCATCACTTTTTTAAAGGGGGATGCACAACGATATGTGATATGTCAGTGCATAAAATATTCCAAACAAAAAAGTTTCTTAAGATTTGTTTTTTACTCTGTTTTTTATTTATCTTTTGTGTTTACACATAGATGGCTCCACAAAATACTAGTCAGCAAGGAGTTAATTACTAGTCCTTCCTATCACATGATTTATCTTTCCCTTAATTTTTAGAAAGATTCTTTACCATTTGTATTGCGATTAGTATTTTAATATTACCATTACCATGATTAACATAACAACATGGTGGTATTAATAGCATTAGATAGAAACTTTTTTTTTAGAATATTCAAGGAATTGGGAAATTAGGTGAGGTCATGTATGGACAAATAATTGACTCCTCGTCAGCTGGGCACATGTAGAACCATCTGTGTGTAGACACATTTCACGAAACAAAACTACAGTGGACAGTTCATGTACCTGGTGACAATAGTTAATGAGCAATTTACTTCCATCTTGTCAAACGTATGATAGTTAAAGAATATTTATATATGCATGTCTTATATTTCTATACTTGTTATCTATAAGCTACAAATGGTTCACAGATGAATATAATTCATCAAAGGGAAGGTGTAACAGAAATGGTTATCATGGGCAGCTGACCCCAGTATTATACTGTTACTCTGACTGACTGCGATTAGATGAAAACGAACAAAGAAACAAACAGAAAACACTATACATTAAAGAAGTTTTTTGGAGATACTATATTTTTTATTGATTTATCAATGCAGTGTGGAAAGTGATTATATTTACGTTACCACAATAGTAGAACATGGCTGTTGTTCATAATAATAGCATCTTCCACATTAACAGGGGGTGTTGGATGGGCAGCAACACAGCTTGCCAAAACCATACCAAATGTTACGGTCTTTGGAACAGCCTCAGCTCACAAACATGAGGCTATGCAAGAGAATGGAGTAGACTATGCCATCCACCATGGTCAGGTAAGCTTCTAGTAACTGAATGTTTTCAGTAACATTTAGGGGTCAATAATTGATGCTATTGAAAGAAGGAAAGTGATAGGAATGTTTCTGGTTGCAGGATAACAGAAGTTTCATGTTTGTTGATATTTGATGGAAGAGAACTGATATTTGTTTCATTTGAAAATCTGGAAATGTTTTTTTGATACTAAAAGAATACTTAATATTTGTTAATAATCATTAATGCTTATGTATTATATAAAAATGCCTGATGTGAATAATCTTTTCTATTTATTTTAGCTGTAAAATTCTGTTGTAGAGATAAAAGGTGATATGTTTTTTAGTTTCTATAGGGAAACACCACTATTGAATATTTTTATCATTTTTTAAAGGGCAAAAATCTCAATCTGATGATGGCTGTATCATATCTCAAATTCATTATGAGTGAATACTGAATATTTTATGATCATGTGAAATATGACTATACAGCGAGATCTGGTTTGCATCATTTATGGATAACACTTAAACATATACGTCTGTGCATGGTTCTTGTGGGCACCAGAAGGGCTTGTGACCTCTAAAGGGGCCCTTAATTTTATGTTAAAATCATACAAAAATGCAGTATTATATTACCCCAGTGCCAATGGGAAAATGGTGCATTACCTTTGACAATACTTGGTTAAATGTTTCTGCACATAGATGGCTCTGCCAATGCTTGTCCACAAAGGAGTCAATTAGTAGGTTGTGTGACCTCACTTTTGCTTGAAAAAGCAGGAAAATTTTTTTTTTACTAATGCGATCAATATTGACACTGTTATATTTATTATAAACATTATAATTACTATATTATTATTGACAGTACTAACAGCAGTATTAAATATTAGAAAATATTATCAAAAATCAAGGAAAAGTGTAAACAGGTAACACAGGTAGTTCACATAATTGGGTCATTGGTGACTTAGTACTTGCGGAGCCATCTATTGTAAAAACAATTACTAAATTCAACACACACAATGGATGTGGCAGGTACATGCATGCCATCCCCGGCATTATGTGGTTAATTGGCTGTGATATAGATATTGACAATTTCAGTGGTGAAAAGTAGTAGGGGTACTGGCTGGGGGCACCAGGTTATATTTTCATACACTCACTCACTCACTTACTCTCACAAGAACTATCACTCAGTTAGTCACCCAGTCACTTACTCGCTCACTCACTTACTCATTCATTCATTCATTCATTCATTCATTTATTCATTCATTCATTCATTCATTCATTCATTCACTCACTCACTCACTCACTCACTCACTCACTCACTCACTCACTCACTCACTCACTCACTCCACTCACCCATCCACCCACCCACCCACCCACCCACCCACCCACCCACCCACCCACCCACCCACTCACTCACTCACTCACTCACTCACTCACTCACTCACTCACTCACTCACTCACTCACTCACTCACTCACACTCACCACTCACTCACTCACTCACTCACTCACTCACTCACTCACTCACTCACCCACTCACTCACTCACCCACTCACTCACCCATGCATTCACCCACTCACTCACCCACTCACTCACTCACTCACTCACTCACTCACTCACTCACTCACTCACTCACTCACCCACCCACCCACCCACCCACCCACCCACCCTCACTCACTCACTCACTCACCCACTCACTCACAAGCCTGCTAATTCAATCACTCACTCCCACTCCCACAAGCTCACTCACAGTTACGCACTCTCACACACAGTCACTCAGACAAAAAAAAACAAAAAGATAAAGCCCAAACTTTTTTTCAGGATTATGAAAGAGAAATCTTAAAGGTCCGACCTCAAGGTGTCAGCATTGTCTTGGACAGCTTGGCAGGGGCCGAATTTACCAGAAGTCAGAACCTTTTGGAACCTCTGGGCAAGGTAATCCTTCAAAGTATTTCATAATTTCTTAACTTGTTGATGTCAAGAGTGTGTATACTGTCCACTGTAGTTTTGTTTTATTCATAGACGGCTCATGAAAAGTGTTCAGTTACCAAGAAATCAATTGATACCTAACTTCAGAGAACTATAATAATAGGAATAGATTTTTTTTTTCCTTGTAAAAAATTCAAGGAAATTTGTAAGTAGGTGAGGTCAGGTAGGCCTAGTAACAGATCCATGTGACTAATATATAAATATATAGGCCACAGATACCTGTCTTATGGCTTGACTGACTGGTGATCAGTACTTGCATAATCCCTGGGGCATAGAACACTACTGAGGAGGGACAAGGAGCAGCAATCAGGAAGTAAAGCCCTGAGCACAGAATGCAGTTTGCTCTGTAGATGGTTGGGTTGTCTCACATTAGATTGGGGTGTGAAAAGTTGAGTTGAGTATTATGTGCAGTAGATCAGGTTGAGCCACTGCCCGTGATCATGGATGCTGACAGTGTCATGATCCCAGTGCCAAATCCACCTATCAGTGAGGAACCTCCTACCCTGACAGAAGTTAGGGATGCTTTCTCCAAGCTGTGGTGTTGCAAAGCAGCTGGCATTTGCAACAACCCTGCTAGACTGTTGAAGTCTGCCAGGGAACCCATGGCTCTTGGATTGCATACTTCCTGGTCATAGTCATCCCTCTGGAAGGGAAATGGGGATCACTGGAATTGCAACAATCACTACACTGCTCAGCATTCCAGGCCTGAGCAATCTGGATTTATTTCTGGCAAAGCCACAATAGACTAACCTTGCTATGTTACTGTAAAGGGCTGTCATGAATGTAGTTTGACTTCAATAAGGCATTTAAATCAATGTATTATGAATATAGAAAGCCTTTCTTGTGATTCCAGAAGTGAACTAGGTTATGGTCATGTGCTGATGCTTTTCAACAACTGCATTGACTAAATGATGGATGGAGCTATCATCCAAAGTCAGTGTGGAGCAACACTGGATAACAATGTCACAACCTCTACCTTGCTAACAATGTTGCCATCTCATCTGAATCTTCGGAGACTGGCAGGATCTCTTAATGCTCTCTCAAGTTACAGAGCTTCACATGTTTTGATAGTAAAATGCATGATTTTCAGCTGTCAGATCAAGAAGTCAACAAATGGGATCGTCTGGCAGCAAGAGCCATAAATTGCTTGTAAAGATTATATGAAGGTGCAGGAGGACCGAGCTACATATCTTTGACACCTTGATCCTGCTAGTTTTGTTGTATTGAAGCAAAACTTGAACCTTATCCTGAAGTATGGAGTTTCATGTTGTCTTGTAAAGAGACAACCCTTGGTGGAGGAAGCCCATGGGACAACCTAGGAAGTCGTAACATGGGCAATTTTACTGAATCTGTTGTGATGAGGTATAACTGGGCCATGCGCCTGCCTGGTAGCTCACTAAGAGAGACCCTTGTGGCTGGAATCAGGTGTATGTAACAATGCACCTTCTCAGCACTAGACCCACTGAAAGATTGCCTTAGATTAGTTTTTATTATGTGAGGGGATCTGAAGGAGGCTTAGTGTACATTTGTTTTTTGACCAAATACTGCCAGGAAAATGTGATGTTCACTGTAATATTTTGTGAAAAGTATCTATGCTCAGATGGCTCTACAATTATTCAGCCACCAAAGAGTCAATCTGTAGTTTATATGACCCCACTTGATTTCCCCCACCTTAAGTTTTTGGGAAGAATGTTATTTTTTCCATTGTTATTAATATTGATGTAATTATTATTACTGACAAAATTATTACAGGTGGTGCTAATAGGAGCCAAAGGAATGATTGAGGGGGAGCATCGCAGTCTGTGGTGTATTCTGAAAACCTGGTGGAACACAAAAAATGTCTCTCCTCAGTCTCTCATCATGAAGAACCATGCTGTAGCAGGTACTTACTTAAAAACTAAAGTGCATGCTACACTATGTGTACCACCAGGCAAAATCCAATGCATGAGCGCACCATATTAATTATAGATTTATTTCTCTTAATGTGTTTGCTTTCTCTCTCCAGGTTTCCATTTAACTGAGCTCAGAAAAAGAGACCCAAAAGCTTTTCGAAAAGGATGGATGGAGGTCAGAGACATGATAGCTGATGGGGTATTACGTCCTAGAATTGATTCAGTCTGGAAATTTGAAGAAATTGTAGAGGCGTCAAAACAAATTTCTGAGAGGAAAAACATTGGGAAAGTTATTATTAAGCCATGAATTAATGAACCTTTTGATTCAAAGAGCCTGAATGATGTAGCTAGCTACATGCATGTGGAATACTCTGTGTATCTGGCTTCTTTACCTTAATTTTTTATAAATGCTAATTTTGGTGTTTATGTCTGTCAGTAGCCTTGCAATTGCACAATAGTTCCAGTAGGACTTCTGTATTCACTTTTACCTGTCTTTGCTTAATTCTTTTTCAGTCTGGCCAACAGGAAGACAATTTCCATGAGTTGCTTTACCTAATCCTATCAATATTGATGCTATTAGCATTATTGTAGACAATTTGATTTTTACAGTGTTTTGACATACATAAGGTACAGCAATATAAGATACCAGAATGCATTTCTGAAAATCAAGGAAAAGGTTAAACAGGTGAGATAGGTAGTACTCATAATTGGCTCATTGGTGACTTGTTGAGCAATCTGTGTGTATAGACAATTTGTGTGTATAGACAACTAATAGAAACATACATTTATGTATATGTTTAGATATACATATGTATATATATATTATATATATATATATATATATATATTATATATACATAAGTATACATGTTTATATATACATATGTGTGCCTGTATACATAAATGTATATATATATACTTGTATCTATATACACATATATGTATATTTACGAATATATACAGATATATGTATATTTATATGTCTATATTCATATATATTTATTATATACATAAATATATATATGATATATATGTATATATATAAAAATATTACATATATGTATATAAATATGTATACATATATGTATATATGTATATGCATGTGTATGTAAATATATATATATGTATATCCATATGTATGCATATGTAAATGTATATATATGTATGTATATGCATGTATATGTAAATGTACATATGTATATACATATGTATGCATATGTAAATGTATATATATGTATGTATATGCATGTATATGTAAATGTATATATATTTATGTATATGCATATGTATGTATATGTATGTATTTGTAAATGTATATATATATGTATGTATATGCATATATATCTATACATGTATATGTAAATGTATATATGTATGTATATGCATATGTATGTATATGCATGTATATGTAAATGTATATATATGTATGTATATGCATGTATATTTAAATTATATATATATATATATATATATATATATATATATATATATATATATATATATATGTATGTATGTATGTATGTATGTATGTATATATGTATATGCATATGTATGTATATGCATATATATGCATATGTATGTATATGCATGTATATGTAAATGTATATATATGTATGTGTATGCATGTATATGTAAATGTATCTATATGTATGTATATGCATGTATAAATGTATGTATATGCATATATATTGTAATGTATCTATATGTATGTATATGCATGTATAAATGTATGTATATGTATGTATATGCATATAAATTGTTAAGTGAAGTAGCTTATAAGGAAGTTCATATTAAAGGAAACATTTTTTTTTTTTTTTTTTTTATCTTAATTAATGTGGAACTTGCAGTGTAGTTTTTTTTTTTTTTTTTTTTTTTTTTTTTTTTTTTTTTTTTTTGAGAATGTAATAAATGTGCTTATTTTATTTTTTATAATGTGAATAAATAATTATTGATAAATCTGACGATCTTGGATGAGTTTAAAACTATATTTTTGATAATGAGATAAGAGACGTCAGATGTAAATAGTGTTGACCTAGCGGACTCGAACAGGGATATTGGTGAAGGTGAGATACACGGTCTTGTGGTATTTGTTTTCTTTATGATTTACTCTTTAAGTTTAATGTTTGAAGTTAGTAAGTTCCAATATGATTATTTGAGAGTATGTACAATTGAAGATATATGTGAATTATAATCAGATTATGAATTTTATGAGCGTCTAATGTGGTCGGGTGTTGGTGTGATGTCCAGAGTACTGTTTTTCTGTTTTCTTGTCTGAAGTTGAAGCTTTTGTTTTTACTCCAGTGATAGGTCCCTT